CCAATAGCTCAAGTTAATAACACATTTTTCCTGCGTGTTTTAAGCAATCTCTACAGCACCATGATGCCCAGTGTCTTCAAATGCAGCAATCTGCACTTGAGGCTTACCACAGATGGTGTAGATGCAGTCATTATGCTTCAGCAGCATGAAATTAATCCTTAGCCTTACATTCCAGTCAGAATCAATTACATCTTAGAGTACAATTTGTAAATTAGTGCCCTAGCATTGCTAACTTAGGGACTTCAATTTCAAGGATTGCATTCTCACATCCTCTTACGTTGCTGCAAACATAGTGGTGTAAGGAAGTAAAATGCTCACTCACCTGCTGTTCCATCAAATAAACATGAGGTCCATATTTGAGAAGAGCCTATTCCAAAAAACACTTAGAGAAATAATTTGTTCCCATTCTCATCTATCATTTTATAGTACATTTCATGGACACAATAGAATATGCCCTCCTCCTCAGGACATACTGCTTTCATTAGAAAAACTAAACACAATCACTTCAGACACAACCCAAAGGGCAAACCAGAATTCCAAGAATAAGAAGTTCTAAATGTCTAAGTATAAACCAATATTTCAAAACACCCTCTAATTTTTATTCACTGCTAGTGTAACAGCTTCTTACAGATGAAGACTATCGACTATAGTGCTAGGCAGCAAGTGCACCTACAAGTGATCTTCATTCAGAAGAGTCATACCCCCAACACGCATAATAAGCCAAATTAGCACAGTATTATGCACTAGGAACATGTAATTAACACCCTATATTGTAAGCTACATTAAGGTCTCCAACATAGACTTAAGAAAACAGCTGTTGTAAGAACACACTGCAAAACTTATTCATGAGGAATATATGCATTCACAAGCTGAATAAAAATTGTTTCTTGAATTTCAGTCCCAGAGGGCCTATTTCAGAGGTCCAAATTTCTATAGCAACATTCCCATTAAGCACCAGGAAATGTTGGATTAGACCTACTTATACTGCTGTATGATTTCAATTATGATTCCAGGAAGCCTATTTGAAAAGCTCCTGTCTTTAAAGAAGTGATCTTCCAGGTTGTGACCAAACAGCCTTTAAGCCTCTAAGGAAAGAACTGCAAGTTCCTTTTCATTATTATCACGAACACTCATTACAGCACCCTTTCAGCAGATACCCTGAACACCAGTATACAAGCTTCAGGACCCAAAGAGTAAAGTTGAATACAACCTTTAAGCAAGGCAAAGGGAGACATACAAAAAGACTCTGGGACCTTGCCTCAGCAGTAAATTAGATCTTTCATCTATAAAAATCTTGATCAGGCAATCAGCTAGTCTTGTCCACTTCCAAGTTAAGAAGGATGTGTAAAAAAATACAACAATACCAGCAACAGGAAAATCACTGACTCATGCTATTGACCAGTCAAACATACCTGTAGCCCTGTCAGAAGTGGTCACTGCCACTCACAGTGAACCAATGGCCCTTGACTACCATGTCCCTGTATCCTCCTCAGAAGGAACTTGTCAGTTCTCCCTCACTCTACAAGGCATGAGGTACCTATGCAACCAGTTAGGAGAAGTCTACCTCATGCAGTATAATTCTGCTGCAAACCAGTCTCAAATCTGCATTCCACAAAGATCTAACGTTAGTGGTGAAAAAACAGCCTTAACCTAGTCACAACTTCATTTTCTGGTCAATTCTGCAATATACGTGATGCTTACAGCTTTATCATTCTCTAGTCAAGCTAGTTCAAATCCTAAGGTAGGTTTTCTACAAGAAATTAGTCAAAAAAATCCCTGTTGATGGCTGATTGGGCTCTTGTCCAAATGACAGTTCTACTAAAGTTTACCCCTGTATCTGAACCCCTTTGGTCTTATCCTTCCTCATCACATCAGCCCTTCATTGTGTTATCACCAGCTGTGCCAACACACACCCAACAAACCACCTTGGGCACCTGACCCAAGCCCAGGTTTCATAAAGGATAAAGTAGTGAAGGGCATCATCCCTTCTCTCACCCTGAAACACCATTTTTTTTAATGACTGAGATACAGCTTCTACCCTTTTGCTAGAGGCAGAGAGGAAGTGCATGACCAACAGGCAAGTCTCAGCCTTATAAAAGGGAAGCCTTCGCTTATCCCTGTTACCATCAGTATAAAGCAGCCCAAGAGGTGATATGCCCAAGAACGCTGCTAAAGCCAGAGCTTGTTTCAACTAGAAAGGAAGCTTGGTAAACAAACATGAACATGTAACTTAGATAAGGTATTATGAGTACAGCTCCTTTTACTTTGCTTCAGTATTCCGCAAGTAAGCAGGATTTAATCTCACCAACATGCAGCAACAAATGCAGAGGTATTTGTCCTTATGGAATGTACACCTCCAAGCTATAAGGCTACAGTGTCCTGTAAAAAAAAGCTATATATACACCCTACAAACGGGTACCAAGGTTTGAGCTAGAAATTAACTCAATCCTGGCACACTGAACAAGATAACTGGCAAGTAAAATGGGCAACCAGAAGACACTGATTCCAATAGGGAGTTAGGTTCATTTCTCTACTGAAATAAACTAAATCAGATAAAGTTTCAGGCAAGAACTAAGGTGAGCTGTTTTCTTGCATTAGTAACCACAAGTTTTATAGAACCTCTGTTTTGCAACCACTTACTGGGTGTACTACCCAGTAGTCACAGGCAGCAAGTCAAACAACAGAGGTAAAAGGGTAAATAAGACTAAAGCAATAGAGTTAAGCTGACCTGAAGCTGCCTCAAAGCTAGAGATTGTAACATCACAGAGTACAGACACGCAGGACTTATCTTGCTTTCAGCTGGTGTGATTGATTTCATTCATTTTAAAGGTTTAGAGGTTGCCATGGTTTAAGTCCAGCCAGCAACTAAGCACCACAAAGCCACCCGCTCACTCCTCCCCTCCCCACCATGGGACTGGAAGGAGAATCAAGTAAAATGTGAGTTCAGGTAATAACAGTTTAATAGCTTAGATAAAAATATAATAATAATGAAAAGATAACAAGAGGAGAGTGAAATAAAACCCAAGACAGACAAGTGATACATAGGGCAGCTACTCACCACCCACCAACCGATGCTTAGCCAGTCCCTGAGCAGCAATCTACCCCTCCTGGCAAACTCCACCAGTTTATATACTGGGCACCACATGGTATGGAATATTCTTGGGGCCAGTTTGGGTCAGCTGTTCTGGCTGTGTCCCCTCCCAGCTTCTTATGACCCTCCAGCCTTCACACTGGTAGGGCATAAGAAGCTGAAAAATCCTTGAGTTATTATAAACACTATTTAACAACTAAAACATGAGCATGTTATCAAAGTTATTCTCACACTAAATCCAAAACACAGTCAGTGGACAGCTACTAAGAACAAAATTAACTCTATCCCAGCCAAACCAGGACAGAGCTAAATAAGGATTTTTGGTCTGAAAAGTTCAACCAGACACGAACACAATCCGATGATGCAGACCAAGGGGCAGAGATAAGACGCTGTGATTACTGCTGAACTCTCCTGCCACTGGTCAGGAAACACAGCTGCCCACCAATGGCATCACTGTTGTCACCACTAATGTGACAGAGCAGATTTGCTACTGGATGGTGTACAGCAGATGACAAGCCCATGACATCAACACAATAAATGCCATTAAGAAGCTGCACCGTGACTCCTGAGGGCTCTTAGTTCTGCATCAGTGCCTGCTCTAATGGAATCAGATGCTCTGTCTTTCCCCCGAACACCGTGAGCGATAGTCTGCTGAGTCACAGAGCCTGTGGGGACACCGGGAGCTGCAGGGCCTGCAAGTGCAAACCGCACTCCGCCTGCTGCAGCGCACATCACTCGCAGCGCAAAGGACAGCAGTGCAGCACTGCCTGCCCACAGAAAAAAGACCCAGCAAAATCCTTTAAGCCCCAGTGAAGCACAGTAAGCCTCAGCCAAAGCACATGGAATCTCAGTATTCAGTACAAGGCAGACAAGCTTAAGCCTTTTTTAAAAACTATTCATGATTCTTCCATAGGAATACAGCAAGTTCCCCTGTCCCCAACTCTCTCACAGAAGGGCTGCCATAAGCGACGTACACGGAATGCCTGGCAGCACATTTCCAAGCACCTTGTCATTGCAACAATCAGACATAGGCAGTATGAACTTTATTTGTTTGGCTTCAGAAAGTTCTACATCAGTATTTGAGGAAAGGTTAAGAACAGAACATGCCAGAAAATATTTTAATGCTAGCATTCACAGCAGCTATTATTTTTGATCATCAACTGCCATGGGCTATTAGTTTCAGACCGTACCTTTCACCAGCGTGGGTGTTTCCACTTATCTAAGCAATTTTTTTGCCCTATAGCACTTTGCACAGGCATTCTTCGCAACAAGAAGCAGCACTAAAAAGTAGAAGCTCAGAACAATTACACGCAAGCTTTAAGCCAGTGGTTATTTCAGGACCCAGCTCTCAAATTAAACTAGAATTAACTATGACAGCACCTCACCATGTTAAATACACAGATGCACAAAAAACAGTATACAATACAGATTACTTTCATGAGAGAGAAAAAGTAAAAGTCTTGCTACTGGAGCAAGCCAGACATCTGCTTTATAAAATTAATCCTCCAGAAGAACATGGCACGATTAAGAAGGGTTTTTTCAGCTGTCAACATTGAATGGTGGTGCATGATCTGTGCTGAGCTCCTCACTGTTCCTACTTGGTTGCAACAATTCTCTTAAGTACAAAACCTGGATTCGCATCAAGATTTGAACACTAGAAAAAGTCTATTTTGTTCAAGTGTTACTATGAAGTCACATTTAAAATTGAAAAATGCTTAATAAGTTCTCAGAATTGTTACTAAGACAGCTACCATACCCCTTGAAACGACCTCTTCCACCCAAAAGTGAATATTCATTATTGACCTTCAATGCAGTGAATCTATATAGACCTGGCACAGTAAGAAGAAGGCTGCTGCATGTAATTTAGTAGGCACAGACCGCAAAGCAAACAATGAAAAAACAAACTGACCTTGTGTTTAGCATGCTGAAATTTTGACCCTTCCTGCTCTTCATGCTGCACTGAGTTGGCTCTCTCCCTCACACTTCTATACCCTGGACTGGGTATAATATACTCTTTTCCTATGTCGATGTCTTTCATCTTCTGTAAACGCCAGGGTTTACACGTGTATTTTCACCTCAAATATCTGAAAAATAATTGAATTCCACTTCATTATATGCTATGTCCAACACCAGTTACTTTTAGTCATCTATTTTTAAAGCTTGAGGGTTTTTTTTTTTTAAATAAAAAACAGAAAGCAATTGTAAACAATTGTAAATTAGTTTTATCTCAACAGGACATAACATGACTTTGGAAGCACACACAAGACCGACTTTTCCTGAACTAGTTTAAACATACCATGAGGTAACCAAATAGTACAAGGATTCTCAACGCACTAGAGTACTATCATACTGCCTCCCTTAGAACTCTGAAATACAATTATGCAACCTGACAGATGAAAGTAATAACTCCAATATTTAGTCAAAACCTTGAAAAACTTGACTTGGAAGACCAAATCTCTGAAATAGTTTGTTAGCGTCTCGCATTGCACATACCCCAACAACTTACCAGTAGAAAGTTTCGCAAACCTGATCTTTCCAGAGATAACACAGGATAAAATTAGTAGTTCCACACACCCCGTAGGGAAGAATAGATTCCTTCTCTACAGCACTACTCGCTTGATCGTAGCTCAAGCCTATGGAGAAGCGCGAACATGCCCAGGAAGGCGGCACATCTCCTGCGCTGCAGGTTTTTTCCCCCTCAACCTATCACATCGTCTGCGAAAAAGAAAAGCACCTCCCGCTGCAAAGCCTTGCGGCCTCGCTTTATCGCGTTCTGCCGCTTGCCTTGAACTAACCCGAGGGGA